TTTTTATGTCTTTCTCGCATACATATACACGTACAGATTAGTACCCTTGAATTTTATGACCCAAGAGAAAGGAAAAAATAGTGCATTGTTACCACAATAGTCTGTTCGTTTGTCATTCTGTCCGACTGTTCAATCAATTTATCTATCCATCTTTTCAACCACAAAAAAAACCCATTTAAAAGAATATAATAAAGCCTCCACCACTTCACGCCACAAGGCCGATGAAATAACCGCTATCTAAATTGGCAAGTCATATTTGCCTTAGTAGTCAAACATATGTGTGGCTGGCCAGGACTTTTGTCCGTCTGCCGGGTAAATAACCGCGACTTGTACATTGTTACCCTGGCCAGCATCCCAATGTTTGACCCCTTTTCGAGGCCACTGTCCGCTCCACAGACGCCTGTTTTCCTCCCCTCTTGAGGGCTTGAGGGAATCACAGAAGAGCTCTCTAGACTTTCGTTCGTTCTTCTTTGTTCTTCTCTCATTTCATCTCTTCCTCACACAAGCGTCTTTTGTGCGTGTGGGCGCGTCATTTCCTTCTTTCTGTCATCTCAGGGTTTTTTTCGGTTTCTTTACATTGATGTATTCTTTTCAATTTTTTCCTCTTTCTTTCTCTCTCAATTTTTTAACAGTGTGTTTCTACACTCCCGTCAGTTTGTATTTGCTGGTGTTTTTCAACATCTTTCCCTCTTTTCCCTCCCCTCCCCCAATGTACACTTAACTTGTTTTCGTCTGTCGAGAGTTCTTATTCATATTGATAAAGAACTTGCTACAGATTATTAAAGAACGTTAATACATTTCTTAGGGTTGGCACGTGTGACCTCTTCGAAATAAATCACCTTACGATGCCGTTAACGACTCTTTTAAAAAATACACAAGATTTCTATTGATTTAATCGATTCTGTTCTATCGGAGATGGACGTTAATGTCGATGGTCTCATCTATTAACTAGCATTACAGTGTCGAAATGGGTGTTAAATGTATACCGATACAATGATCAATAGCGAAACCGTCAAGAAAAAAACAACGACTTAGTTTCAATTATGTACTTAAACCATTTGAAAGTGAAACTTGAAATTTTTTAAAATTAGATACCTCTATATCATGAAATCCGTCTTAAAAATGGTTTTCATTAATTAAAAAGGTAAAAAAGGTCAAAGTCAAATTTTACTCAGTCGAGTACCTAGTACATGCTTCCCGGGAAGCTGAGCATGTTTCGGAGTGTTCTATGGTCTGCTGGGGTAATAATATAGTGTAAAGCGCATAGAGCCTGCTGTTGAGCGGGGATATGCGCTATACAAAAGCTATCTATTATTATTATTACATGTATGATGGTACACGTTAGGGGAGACTATACAATTTTGTAGCAGAGTGGAATTTTTATAATTGGATAGCTTTAAATCAGAGGAATAG